GTGTAATATCAGGGTCACAAAATGGCTGCTATTGCCCACTAATACTTGAGTGCTCGAGCGAGGGCAGGATGGAGGGAGGGGCTGCCAGCTCTATCTTTGTCTCTTTTTTCAGAAAAGCAAAACGCTTTCCCAGAAGCTCTCTTAGCGACTCCTCCTTACATCTCAAGGCCACAAATTTCAAAGAGTAGAAAAGCAGAAAACAAGATTCTCATTTTTGGCACCATTGTGAGACATTGCCTAGGAAAAGGCATATTGACAATTCAAACAAAATCTTAAATTCTAGTAGCAAAGGACACAGAGGAATGAATATTTGGTAGGGGACAGAAAGGATCTGCCTAAATGCCCTAGTTCATTTGACTGTAAAATTCTTAAAGGCTGGGATTGTGCCTGTTCTCTTCTTTGTGTATAGAACTCAGACCATAAGAAAAATGTTTGACACTGCAAATTCTATACACTAAGGCAGTATCCCCAAGTTTCACTCAATTTTTTTAATATGAGGGGTGCTATTTGAGCACAAAACTAGAGAGAGATGATAAATATACATATTCATGGTCATCTTAGGCTACTATAGCAAAATATGATGAACTAGGTGGTTTAAATGATCTCCTCTTAGTGTCCTTGCATGGCGGAGAGAGAGTTCTCTGGCCTCTCTTCTCTTATAAGGACACTAATCCCATCATGGGGACTTCATCCTCATGTCCTGATCTAAACCTGAGCACCCCCCGCAAAGGTTCCACATTCAAATACCATCACACTAGAGGTTAGGGCTTCAACATATAAATTTGGGGGAACATAAACGTTTAGACCATTATTTATTTCTATGTTAAAAATAATATAAAATATTCCCAGAAGTCAATTTTTGCTCCATGTATTAGAATAAGTATTAAACCTTCCTATGCCCCGCAAAATTGTAGACACTGAAAAAAACCAACAGAAAATGGTCTCAGCTTTTAATGCATTTAAACTGAAATAAGAAGTGGTGAATACAGATCAAATTGAACTAAAATGTTATATAATCTATAATAGAAACCTTTTATCTGGTGCCTATTATGTAATAATGGTATAACATACTTTAATCTTCACAACAATGCTGCTAGGTAGTTATTAGCCTCATCTTAAGTGTTAGAAAACTGTGAACACGTAGAGGCTAAGTAATTCATTCAAGGCCACCCAGGGCATAAGCAGTGGAGCTGAAGTTTGGACAAGATCTCTTTTTCTCCCCAAGTCATGCTGGCACATAGTACACATACCACTACATGCTGATTAATTCATTTTGTGAATAAAATCTTCCCTTCTTTTATAATTCTGCTTTGTTTTTACGCTTTTTCATTCCTAGCTTTCTCACTGGTGACTTATGTAGATGAATCGATGGAAATAAGGTCAGATCATTGACAGATGAGAAAATAATGAGACATTAGATTATTAAGAGAGATGAAGTTAAAAGTGAGAGATGAATAAAAGGGAAGAAGGGGTGAAAGCTCAGGATTATGAAGGCAATAAATAGGAAAGAGGAGAGAGAAGAAGAGTGAACACTACCCAGATATTTCTCTGGGCACTGTGGATGTGATGGAATAGTGGTATCCCACCCCGTGACCCTGTCTTCTCTGATCTCTGGCCAAGCGTGTGGCTTGGCACTGCACAACTAACAGCAGCGTTCTGAGGAGAGACTCATCATGGTAGTGACCAGATTGCACTTTCCCTAGCTATTCTTGTGTTCTAATCCTCCACGGAAGGTCTTTTATGGTTAATCTCAAACCATATAAATATTTAACTCTCCTTTTAGTTACATTGCAGAAGCCTGTTCTCAAACAATGATATGTTTCAGTAACCACAAATTGATATTAATCTACCCTAATGTCTCTGTGTTCCTCTTCTTCAAGTGAGTTGAAAGCATGGATCCACACAATTTGTCTTGTTCAGTTTGTACCTACTTTTATCTTCCGTTAACATAGTATAGACTCTCAGGTATGGACAATAGATTAAGATCCAACTACTCCCCGCAAGATTTCAATCCACCTCTCTCCAGGACGGTTTTTTTTTGTTTTTTTTTTTTCCTTTCTTTTAACATTCTCCATTCAAACTGGTCGTATAGCTATATCGAATACTTCCAGTCCATGGAACCTAATACTTCCTCAAGTAGTCCTTTCCATGCTTAAACAACTGCGACTTTAGAGCATGCTTTCTTATTTCACCAGTCAGGATAGCTAAGTTGTTCTGCAGTAACAAATAGCCCTAAAATGTCAACTCTAATACAACAGAGGCTTTTTTTTTTTTGCTAACATGTGCCTATCAAATCAGCTTGGCTCCGGTATATATTGATATCCATATGGGATCCTGGCTGAGGGAGAAGCCCCTCTCTGGGACATTTCTGATCTCATGGCAGAGGAAAAGAGGTCCTGGAGAATCGTTTACTGCCCATTAGAGAGAAGGACAAGAGCAAGACAACCCAGAGAACAGCAGTAAATATCTGGAATAACAGTGCAATGTACCACATAGTTATTGAGTCAAATCTTTTTTCAACTAATATCCCTCCTTCCCCATTGCCTTTTCTCTTTACCAGCTCTACAAATGTTAGGAATCCTTAGCCATGTTTTCTTCAAGCTGTCTTTCTTCTAGTCTAATTGGCTCCAATTCCTCCACTGACCTGTTCCCTGTATCTAGTGATCTTACATGACATTCTCTTCAGAGCCTTTTAAGCTGTCTTGAGTCAACTGGTGAGAGAATTGTTGGTCTATTCTCCAAAGGAAGTGGTCCCTTGACATACTTTTCTTTAGGATGATGGGTTTGGGTATGTGGCTGAGCCTTCTAGACAAAAAAAAAAACCTTTCCTTAAACAATATCTCATCTAATCAGTCTCCAAATTTTTTAGTAGCTTAAATCGTTAGGCTTTTCACAAATGCGCAGGCACTTTGCCTGTTATATATTAGAATGTAGACATGTTTGAGCACTTCCAGAGGGCAAATGTCACATCCCTGACTATTCTTTAGGTAACTTAGCAATATATATGCATAGTTGTATTGACAAAACTCCTCAAACCTACTATTTTTTCATAGGACTGGCTCAGAATGTGGACTTTGGAAATAACCAGTCTAGGATCAAACCCTGATTCCACTCAGTACTACCTATAGGACGTTTGACAAGTTAATTAATCCTGAGCTCTTATTTCCTCATCTAATGAGATACAGATAATAATAGTTATCTTTCTCATGTGGTTGTTGAGAGGACTAAATGACAACAGTGGGACTCAATCAATGTCTTCTTTTGTTACCATACTGGGGTCCTAGCACTCAGAGCTATTTCTGGTCTTACTCAAGGACTAGGTCCTCTAGCATCCCTGGGTTTACCATGGTTATGCATAGCTCCCTCCTTGCTCCCAGATGTCCTTCTCTCCTCCTGAAATGTTTCATCCTCGAGTCAGCATCATCCGAGCTTGACCAGTATCTTTCAAGGTGTTGTCCAAGAACAAGCTGCACTGGAATCACCTGGAGGCCCATGTGTCCCCATTTCAGACTAACTGACAGAGTTAGAAAATGAAACTAGTAAGTCTGCATATAACAAGCTCCCCCTAGCTGGGGGAGCCAGTTAAATTATAGGACATCCAGTTAAATTTGAAATTCAGATAAACAATGAATAATTTTTAGTATAAGTATGTCTGTCCCATGCAATATTGGGAACATATATATACTAAAAAATTATTTATTGTTTATCTGAAATTCAAATTAAATGGAGTATCCTGTACTTTTAATTGCTAAATCTGGCAAGCAGATCCCTGGGATTCCAATGCTTACTAAATTTGAAGACCACTAGTTTAAGATATTTGGCAAAAATCTCAAATTCAACTTCATGAGCTTCCAAGGAGGGAAGGAGGGAAGGAGGGAGGGAGGAAAAGAAGGGAGGGATGGAGGGAGGGAGGCAGAGGGAGGGAGGGAAAGGAGGGGGCAAGGAGAGAAGGAGGGAGGAAGGGGAGGAGAGGAAGAAAAGGAAGGAAGGAAGGAAGGAAGGAAGGAAGGAAGGAAGGAAAAAGCAAAGCAAGCGAAGCCCGTAGACAGAACCTAGATGGCCCATGCATCCACAGAACAAATATGCAGAAGATCAAGGACCCAGTTTCCTCTTCTTCAGAGCAGGTTAGCATTTGTTTCAGCAGCCACAGTAGCAAACATAGATAATCCAACAGCCAGAGAAAAATCCACTTCCTTGTTACTCTAGTTTGGAATTGGGCTTTGGATGTCTCTGTCTCCTTCTGCTTCTTTATTATTATTATTATTATTATTATTATTATTATTATTATTATTATTATTTTGATGTAAACATCTCCATGCCATGCTAGCCAACACCTACTCATCATTTGGTATTTCCTCTTTTGCTTTCCTAGAAAGAATCTTGGGCCCATCCTCCTCTGTCTGCCCCAACTTCCCAAGCATCAGAATACCTAATCACATAGTCATATAGCCATCTTTCTCCCTCTAATATCAAGTGTGAACTCCCTCAATTTTAGTTCTTCGATGGGAATTTGCTAACTCTCAAACCATTCTGTCTTATGTGTAATAGAGTAACGCATTGTGTTTGTTTTTGCGTACATTTACAGAGGCCTTAAAAGAGACAGTATCTTAGCTGATTTTTCACAATAACCCCATAATCGAGGCATTTGAAAACCAGTCCTTTTATTCCTAGACCAAAACCCTTTTTACTCAGCCATTGTCTCATCTCAGGTTATTATACTCACATCATTCATTTGTCATTTTAGAGTAGTGATTAAAGCACAACTGTGCCTTAGTAAGTTTTATTTTTTCTTAACCAATCTAAGCTTCCATTTCCTTATTTGTAAACTTAGGTTAACAATAGTACCTATATCATGGGCACCGGGTTTAGTCAGATCATCAAAGTCTTAGCACTGTGATTGCAAATTGTAAGCACTCAAAATATTAGCCATTATTAAAACTATCTTGTGGGCCAATTCCTTTCCAGGCGCAGCTTTCCTCTTGTTGTCTTTCAGCAAATAGAGACATGAAGTGGAAAACTTAGACTAAAACCAGCAAAACGAGAAGTATCAATGGCTGCGCAAGGAAGTAATGTAGACCTACGCTAAATCTTCTCTTGGTAAACACTTCCTTTTTCATACCCCTCTCCCTTGAACTTTTTCACCTCCACTCCTACAATTTTATGTTATGCAGAGTCAAAAATATAATCATCCTAAACTAGGCTCAGCAGTATGGACAGTAACTGATTGAAATATCAGGTTCTTTAATTAGAAGCAGGAACTAGAGTGTGGTACTAAGAAGAATGGTAATATAATTATTTGCATCTTTTCTAACTTCCTCATTTACACTGCCCTTCTTCATTTCTGTCTCATTCCCTGATAAATATGGTATCTCAAAGCCAAATGACTGGGACTCCAATATTATCAATGTGTTCACCTTCTTTACCCATTAGGGCCTTTATATGATAATAAGTGTAATCTGATATCCCCAATTAATGAGATAGAGTGGCCCCTATATGAGTGACCTCAAAGCACTTTTTCTGTACTGCAGATGCAGTGTAAAATTAGGAATATTAGGAAGATTACGACTGCTTTCTTCAGAAAATACTCAGGGCAATATTGTTGTGGATAATGGGAAATAAATGGTGGTTTTCGAACAAGGAAAGTGAATGTCTGTTATAGAATAGAATAGAATAGAATAGAATAGAATAGAATAGAATAGAATAGAATAGAATAGAATTCTAGAAACAGAGAATCCATGTAGTCTGAAGTCAGGGTCTCTGTGCAGCAACAGAGGACATAATCTGAGAGGCCACCTTTCACGACTGTGTCAGCACTTACATCACCATTGCTTTTCATCTTAGAGTCAGCACAAAACTATGCAAAAGAAAAATCAAGAACATATTTAGGACACAGCAGGGAAGGTTCCTATAAACATTTTTTTGGGGAAAAAAATAGATATTTGATGCTTCTTTAAACAGTTATCAGTGGAAAAATTTGGAATTTCACAGGACTTTGTTATATTTATTTTTGACTTAGAGTTCATTTTGTTTGGTTTGTTTGTTTGTTTTTAACTATATTTTTGGAAGGATAGAAGGTGGATGGACATTGTAATCTTCTTTACTATTTAGAAACTCTAAATGTCTTAATCTGATTTAGTCCAAGACTGCATAGGAATTACTTGACTTTTGCCATTGAGATAGGTATCATAATCCCTTTACTGCCCTATCCGGAGAATGTTGTGTTTTTCCCCCTTTTAAGAAGTGGAATCTGTCAGTATGGTCACTCCCTTATGACTAACAGGTTAATTATGCTTAAGTATTCTACATGGTCCCTCCCATAAAAACTGCCTCGGAAATCTCCAGTGCCTCAAATACTCTTGTCCTTGAATGGTACAAAGAAGTAGAGGATTCCTGGGGCATCTATGATACTTAATCTCTCTCTGCCTACTGACATTCTAACATTTTGGTGAACCCCATTTTATTTGCTATGGAATTTGACAAATAGCTCGATCCCACAAACATTGAGTAAGCAAGTACCATATGCAAGCAATTCATTCAATGAATATTTTCAACTCCTACTATGTGTCATGCATAAGATTCAACTTAATGAAGGAGAAGAAGGAGGAGGAGAAGAAAGGAAGGAGGACAAGGAAGAAGTTGGGAGGAATCCTTGTTCTCAGGAGCTTCAAATCCTGCCGGGGAGAAGACATGTAAACATAAGGGCAATAGAAATCTTGTGCTGCCTCTGTGGACTGAGAGTGAGAGGGGATAGATCCTTGAAGAAATAACAGTGTGCTTGGGGGAAACATGCTGGGCAGGCAAAAACTTCTGCTGAAAAATACAAATTGAGACGTGAGTCATGCCCGAGGGAGAAGTAGAACTTTGATTCTAGTTGAAGCATAGGCAGTAGAAAATGTATGGATTTGAGAGTTAAAAATAATTTTGAACCCATCTTCACCAATGAGCTGTGGTGACTGTGAATAAGTTATTTTGCTTCTCTAAGCCTCCACTCTAAAATAGGAATTGTGATGTTTAGCCCAAAGCGTTGAGGTATACATCTCCTCAAGCCCCAAGGCAGTCTTGTATAACAACTTAGAGCATGGACTCTGAAGCCAAACTGCCTCAGTTTGAAGACTGGTGCTAACACTTAGCTATTAAACTTAGGCAAATTATTGAATTTATCAGTGCCTCAGTTTCCACATCTGAAAATAGAAATGATAATAGCAAACTGACCTCTCAGTAGTTGTAAGTTAAACAGATAGGTTAATGATATAAAGTACTTTAATAAGTGACTACACATGGTAAGCCCTATAACCATTTGCTATTATTACCAAGTGTTTAGTGATGCAATATAAGCCATTACATTGCCATATTACCCGGATAGTAGATGCTATTTTTTTATTATAGTGCACTGTGTTAAACAATGTAAGAAATATGAATGTTCCTTGTATTTTTAGGGAAGACATGAAAGAAATTATAGCCTAGTCATAAGTGACATTCACAAGTGATCATAATAAAGATGGTATGTAATAAATATTGCAAGAAAGATCAGATATGTCCATTGATAGTTCAGAAGAATAAGGGATCAGGAAGGAAAAAAAGCTATAATTGAGACATGGCCTCCTCATCATGGCCTGGGCATGATAGCAAGACCCCATCTCTTAAAAAAATGAAGAGATATCCCTCAGGAGCATGTGATCCTAGAGGAAGACATCGGTGTACCTTCCAGATTCAAAGGAGAGATAATGATCCTTGAGTCAGCAATGCAAGATTAGGTAGACTATTGCTAGGCGGATTAGTGCAGGGAAGGCATTCCTGATGAAACCAACAATGGTTGCAAAGGCATAGAAGGGTGAAAAGGCAAAAGGTGTGTGTGTGTGTGTCTGTGTTTCTGTGTGTGTCTGTGTGTGTACATGTTACAGAAAAAGACAAAGCAGTCAAGAGAGATGGGATTATAAGATGTGTACTTGGGTACATCACATGAGCAATGGAGACACAAAGATGAATAAGACATGAAGGAAATATTTTTGGATGATGCGTGCTGGAGACTGTTTTTGTTTTTAGTGTCATTTTGTCCTTACCTTTCTCCTTCCTTTTTTCCTTCAAAATACATTTGTTGATATCTACAATGTGCTAGAAAAATATGACTTTCCTTATATCACCTGTTATATAACGTAGCTTTGTCCCATGATAAGTGATATAATAGAAATCACCTCATATCAAAATTATGTTATATGAGAAATATGATAAGTAATTTTCCAAGTTACAGTGAAAATAGGCCCCAAATAGGGTTCTTTCATTAAACTCTTTGTTGAGTTGCTTTCTCTCACTCCCATGTCCCTACAATACATGAATAGTAGAGAATCCTTTTTTTTTTTTTCAGTTTATGTGGGCTTAGTAAAGAGTGGGCAGGCAATAGAGACTTGCAGATCTCAACTGAATTACTAGAGAATTTAATTTTAAATGCTCTAGAAGGTATCTTCTTCACAACTTGGTGGCAAATTCTTTCAGGAACTGAAAGTTGCACATGTTTTAAAGGGGCATAAGCTTGTGGAGAGCCTTTCTCTTTGGTTTAGCTGCATCAATATGCTGATTTTTAAAAATACACCGAATATGCAAAAATGAGTATATTATTGACCTTAAATCAATGCCCATCACTGTTTCTATCTTATATAGTTAGCTTTTTGGCTTTTTAATGTTTTCATTGTGAAGTTATTCCAATGAAGACAAAATTTTGTAAAGTTTATTACGCAGGGAGCTTTTAAAATGAAGCAGAGAAACTTTGACCGAGTAATTTCGCTTCTAGAATTTTATTCTATGTGTGCATACTTATACATATGTGCAAAGACTTATATATCTGAATGTTTATTGTTTTTTGAAGCATTGCTTGCAGGGGAAAAAAGCAGATAATAGCCAAACTATCCTTCAGTAGAGAACTAGTTAAATTATGATATATCCATATAATTAATATTATTCAGTCATTAAAAAGAATAATATCGATCTATATGAGCTTATTTGGAATGATATCCAGGACATGTTTTTAAATTAAAACACAAATACAAACAAAATAAAGAGAGAAAGAAAAGTACAGAATAGGTACAAGGAAGATTTCCATTGGTGAGACATAAATATTTTTCTGTGCTTTATATATTCATTTAGTACACGTGAATGCTATGTATGCATGGAACATTTCTGAAAAGATCAGCAAGAAAGTACATATAGTGATTATTTCTGGATGGGAATCTGGACAAAGCAGCAGGCACACTTTTCATTGTCTGTCCTTTGTATTATGTGATTTTTACCATGCTAATATATTTTTATTAAAAATTATTTAATTAAAGAAAGAATAACTACTGGAGATAAGCCATTTTTGGTCAGTTCCATAGTGGCTAGTTAGAGGCTATGTGATATGCAATCATGAAATTAATGCCCAAATTAATAAACCAGTATTTCCCAGTCCTGGTTTTATTACAAGATCATTTCTGAATAGTTCAAGAACTTGTAGAATTATTTTAAAGATCTCAAAATAAAAAGTAAGTGGTAATCTAATTTTGAAAGGAAATATGTTTCACACAGTTTGGGAAGAGAGAAGTATTGTTTTCAAATAGGGAGCGGTACCTTAGTGAGTAATTTCATTTGCATTCCTGTGTATCTTTAAGCTGAGTACAAACTAAGAAAAACTGTTCTTGCAGAATACACTGTAAAATTACTTTAATCAGTAATTAATTTGACCTTTCCCTATCAAAGGTCAAAACACCAGAGAGCCTATTGCTTTTAACATCAGCTCCTCTGCGTAATATTTCTCTTTGCTCTGGAACACAATTAGCTCTTGGGAAAAGAGGCCAACTTTTCAGTTTCTGCCTTTCATGGTTTCTGTCTTCCCCTCTGCTTCAGTGCAGGTCAGTCACACAGATAAGCATTATGCCCAGAATAAAACTGGCTCTGTTTATCTGGGCTAATAAATGAATGGAACCAGTTATTTTCATTGGCTTAGTCTGGAAGGAAACCAAACTAATTTCCACAGACCTTAAATTGGACCTAATCCAAGCTACTTGTCCTCACTAATAAGAGCAATAGCAATTAGTATAAAAGTAAAAAATTTTACAAAAGCAATCCAT